TATAAATAGAAGATTATGAGAGGGAACAATCAAGCTCTCTACAATTATTTTACAGTTTCAATCTCAAGTTGGTATCAGAGTAGGTTATCTGAGTCTCTTTGTACTCTATCTTTGTTGCTGCCGGTGGCAGCAGCCACCGGCGGCCTTATAAAAAAATTGTCTTTTTTGCAATTAGCAATCCTGTTCTTTTAGCTCATCGTCTGCAATGACCCTTTTATGCTATTTTCAACTATTCGCTGCCTCTCTCCACCATCGCCGCCGGCCGCCGCTGCCGTCCGCCGTTCACCGTCACAGTTTTGTCCGACGACCAGTGGATTTGGATCATCTCCTCAAGCGATGGCCAACCCCGCCGGTGTTGAGGGATAGTTCTCCTCCAGGCAACGCCATGCGCACCACATCTGTTTGACATTCGTCGCCGTCGTGGTCATGTTTTCTACGACGCCATGGGATGAGAGAAGTCTTCCAAAGGAAGAAATAAAAAAAAAAACTCTCTATTTCAGCATTGTACCTCTGTTTCAACATTGTTCCTTAGCCTCCTTTCATAATGTGTGTTTAGCTTTGTATATTCTAGCAGCTGTGATGTTCTTGATAGCTCGTGTCATTTATTTACAAGTGTTCAAGGAGAGTCGGTGCTATCAGTTGGTTAACACCAAGGAATGTCAACACCAAAGTCATGGGTTGAAGGTTGTTCATAGCATGAGGGGGAGTCTATTTCTGGCAAGATTCAAAATCTTAGTCAAACAATTTCACCAGCCCCTTGTCATGTTTTTGAATGCTTTGATGAATAAAGGAGACCATTATGACCTTTCACCTTCACAATTTGTCATCGGCGCATTGTCATTTTGTCGTTCGTCGTGAGGCCCCATCCTTACTGGATGGCAGTTTAGTCCCTACAGTTTGGTCGCTTTTAGTCAATACAGGCGCCATTAGTTAGTGATGACAATTTAGTCCCTGTAATTTGTCGCTTTTAGGCACTGCATACCCCATCCTTACTTGATTGCAATCCAGTCTCTGTAGTTTCTCCTTGTCTACCACTGTTGGTCGTCATCCACTTTTGATGGAAATCTTCTTTATCAAAGTCATCCTAGTTGAAGGTTCATGGTGCTAGTTGAAGTTTTGTGATTGTTCATTGCTGTCCAATATTATTCAACATAAGCTGATGTGAGTTGTTCGTCAATCTGTGTTTTGCACTTTTGCTATCCGCTAAGCACTATTTGTTGCACACTCTTGAAGACGAGTCCTATATTTCAAAAGGAGTCTCTTTGGCTATGCTGGATTGTGAGTCCAATTTGGTTTATAGACATTCTCTCTCGATGGTCTAAAGCATCAGTGCATCTTGTTCTAAGTCGAAGTTTCTAAGTTCCTAAAGAGATTTCAAATTGAGTTTATCTATCCAAGCTTGGTACATACAATTTGTATCCTCTAGCTTGAGGAGAAGTGTTAGAATATTTACCCTATTTATCATAATTATATTGTGTCTAGGGTTACCTTATTTATCATAATTATATTGTGTTTAGGGTTAATCTATTTATCATGTATTCTTGTATCAGTTTATTCTTATAAATATAAGATTATGAGAGGGATCAATCAAGCCTCCTAGAATTATTTTACAGTTTCAATCTCAAGTATAGGAAATGGACTTACATGGGATACTCAATAAATGTAATATTTAATTTTGTTATCGTCAAAGCAAAGTTACATTTAATGGAGTCATTTTATAAAATCATATTTTACAATATTACTTTGTATTGCACACACTCCAAAATTGGTGACGAATATCTAACGGTCATGCATTTAATATAATTTACGCATTTTCGGCATGTTCGCGTTTTGTTTTTGCCAGCTGGTCAAAATTGTCTGGACATGTCAATTTGTCATATTTGTTTCTTTTTTAATCTTTGGCTGAGGAGGGGAAGGAAGGAGTAATGGCGAAATTCGGTTAATTTTGCGTCGTGAGTGGTTGAGTTTATACATTGTCCTTACATATATAGATATAATTTGGGTTTTTTAGTTTTCAACTGGTTTTTTGAGACAAACGTGAGGCAGTGAGACAGAGAAGAGAGTAATCGGATGGTCTGTCTTGGATTTTTTTAGTTCACCCAGATCCAGTGGGAGATGAATGGAACTCTGCTGCTAATTATTATTATTCTTATTATTGCAGGGAGCTCAACTCAGAAAACATATTGATGCCACATTGGGTAGTGGAAATCTGAGGGAAGCAGTAAAGCTACCTCCTGGGGAGGATTTAAATGAGTGGCTAGCTGTCAACAGTAACTATTTCTCTCTCTCTCTAATTCCCTGTTAAGAGCAGTTCTACATGAAGTTTTCTTATGCCTTTTATTCTTGATTTCCTCCTGTATGTATTCATAGAATTCTGAGATGCAGTAATCTGACCCTTTTTTTCTGTCTACACTACAGCTGTTGATTTCTTCAACCAGGTGAATCTGCTTTATGGTACCCTTACAGAGTTCTGTACTCCCGAGAATTGTCGGACAATGTCTGCAGGACCCAAGTATGGCATATTTAACTGATTGATTTATTTGTTTACCTTTTCTTTTGAGGGGGAAAAGCATTTGTATGCTTTCTTCAATTATCTTTGCTGTTGGATGAAAAAAATCTGAGTTCCTTGAAACAATGTCGGTTGTGTATCTAGTATCTTGAGTTGAATGGTAACTAAATAACTATGAAGCTTGAAACAATGCTTTGTGTTCTGAAAGCTTATTACACTTTGGCATAAATTGTTTATTCCTTGTGAGTATCCCCTTCTATAAGAATTTGAATGTAGTTTTGTACAAAATAGTGCCATCACACTATTTTTGTAAAGAAAAAGGTTGCTTTTGCATAGTGCTGTTAAAGTTGCCATTTCTTCAGTTATTTGTGTTAATTTCTTTTTTGGTTCTCTGTATCTGCAAAATCATTAGCTATTCTTGCCAATTGTTCATATTTTATAGAATCTAGACTATATTTTGTTACTTGGCAGTGAGTAAGTTCTGCTCTTCCTTTCTGAAAGTACCTAAAAAATACTCCAGTTGAAGGTGTGTTAACCTTCCTTTAATATTTATAACAACTCTAGATCCATCTGCGCTATATATTTATACATTCTTGGCTCTTATGTTGTCTTTCCTTTCAGTTTTATGTTTCTGCAAAGTCATTGTAATTTGGATGCTCGAGTCAGTTCATTTTCTTGATGCTAGACAATATTTAGCAATGTTTGATTTTTGTGCTCTGCCCTTTTGATGGGAACTCTTGTGTTGTATGTAAACATACCTATAATGATAGTGAGAAGTCTAGATCCATTTGTATTAGATATTTATGCATCCGTAGTTCTAATGTTGTACTCTGTTCGGAATACTGTAGGTATGAATATAGATGGGCAGATGGTGTACAAATTAAAAAACCTATTGAGGTTTCTGCACCAAAATATGTAGAATATCTGATGGACTGGATTGAAGCACAGCTTGATGATGAATCCATATTCCCTCAGAAGCTTGGTGAAGATTTTAATATTTTTTTTCATTAATATTCTTAGATTATATGATTATCTTTTTCACTTTGGTTCCTTAAACTATAAAATCTTTCAGGTTCACCATTTCCTGCCAACTTCAAGGAAGTTGTGAAGACGATATTCAAGCGTTTGTTCCGTGTATATGCTCACATATATCATTCTCACTTTCAGAAAATTGTGAGCCTCAAAGAAGAGGCCCACTTAAACACTTGCTTCAAGCATTTTATACTCTTCACCTGTGTAAGCCTCATCTTTTCCTTTTACTTGTTTATTTTGCTGAAGTAACTTATCTGGCTTTTTGTCTATCAATCTATTTTTAAAAAAATAATATTATTAATAATATAAATAAACTATTTGTCTATCAGTATAGATTTTGTTTGAAATTAACTAGTTTTTGTTATGCAGGAGTTTGGGCTGATTGACAAAAAGGAGCTGGCACCCCTTCAAGAGCTTATAGAGACCATTATCGTCCCATACTAGAGAAGTGAATCGGGTCCTACCTTCTGTGAAAAATCTTATCCTAGAAAGCACAACTAATGTATTACTCTAAATAGAAACTGCATTTTAGTATTTGACTTCACAAAGCCTCCTTGCATTTGTCGTGTTATATGTGCTTGGGAACAGGATCTAAGTTATCCTTCTTCAAAGCTTACCAGAGCATCTTTTATATGCAGTGGGGCATCATAGATTTAAAAAAGAAGTTAATTGCAATGGTTCATATATGCTAAATGTGAAGTTTGAAGTTGGAAGGTTGTTTGCCAAAACAATGTTCACTAATAATTTAGTAACACATGAACTATGCATATTTCTATGGGATTGCTCCTACACTTTTATTGGATAAAGTGCTCTGTAGTTTGATTTTTATATATATATATATATATATATATATATATATATATATATAACGTGGTGGAAATTGAAAAGGAAGAGACCACTGCACTTTTTTTTAATTTGATTAGATTGCAACTGAATATAATTTGTTTAAATATTAAAGATGAAATTTTCAGTCTCTGAAATTGTAGCTCATTTTCTGAAACTAAGAAAATTTTGAACAAATTCTTATATTTTTTTAGCTTTTAAAATCAATCTTCATTTTGTGGTCTCTTGTACATGGATTTAAGTGATGATATTATGAATATATTTAGGGATTAAAAAGGAGAAAAATGACTTTCAGACATAGTTTTTTATATATTTTAGTTCTAAAGATTTATATTGGTGAGATAAATTTAGATTAAATTGATGAGATTCTTCATAGAAAGCAAAGTATAAATTGCAAATATAAAGTAGGCGCAAGCGTCCTAAAAGCTGGTTTGATAAACTTTACTGTTGTGGCGCTCTCATGATATTTTTAGCCAATATGAAATTATCTTTTCTCTTTAATCAGCTGTTAGTTTATTTTTGTCTGAAAAAAATGATCCCTTTAAGGTCCAATGCATCATCATTATCATCAAGAATGAATGATGACCAATAACATATGATGTAAGTGGAATCCACATTTTGTAATCAGCAAAAATCATTTTGTAATCATATACCTCAAAAACAATCCAAAGTTACTTTAACATCAGATTCCTAAAATTATTGTCACCACAAAAATCTATCTATTTTTTTTTCTCTCTTGGGGTACTTTTCATTTTTTCTGTGATCATATATGCATGAACCTTTTCACTTCATCGTTATACAGCCGTGTCAATAAGAAACTACTCTCCAAATACATCACCACTATCTCTAGAAAAAAACTAGCAACACTGCTTCAATCCTCATCAAATCCAACCTGAAATTCATGCAAACTCTTAACTTCATACTTCCCATATCTTGATGCAGCAAAGCCATATGATACCACAGTTCCCACAAGGACCACAAGAACAGCAACAAAGAGCTGAAAGTTAGCAAGCAATTCACCCCGAACCTCACTATCAGCAGAATGACATGTGACACTCATCTCCCCAAGCTTACAGCCACTTGGCATCATAGGGCCATACAGAACAAATGCAGTCTGATAGAACCAAAAACCTTGAAGTGCTATAGCAATGCCATTGCATAAATCCACTGGAAAGCTTGTTGGCAAAAGGGCTCCAGCAATTGAAGATAAAATGCAGAGTCCCACCAGGAAGACAAGGAGGGTGTGATAATAGCCCTCCAGACCCTTGTGTGTTGTTGAGTGGAAGTAGAATAGAAGGTACTCTGCACAGAATGCTGAGGCTGCAATCAAACAAAGAGCACCTTCTGGCAATGGAAGAAATCTGTTAAGAAAAAGTCACAAGGAAAGATGATTAAAAAGGTATAAAATAAGATGCTTGAAAGGAAATTGGTAACTGTTCCAATTTAGGTTGCATGTCTAGTAAACTAGAGATCATGATATAAAACTATAATCAATGACAGACTGAAGAAATGATAGGAAAACAAGAATATGCAGTTAAAGATAGAGTCTATGAATGAATCATTATGATTGGGAAAAGAAAAGATCATTGGCAGTTGAACTAATTGAAAACCTCCTGAGAAAAAGCTTTACTTCTTGTTCACCAAATTCCTCGAGGTAATTAAATTGGTTGTTAGTTTCTTCACATCTTATCTAAATGTTCATTAGCCAAACTAAACACAGTAGGTTAAAATCAACTTTTGTTAAAGTCCCCACATGATAAACTTTACACTCTGGTTTTTATAAAACAAACGTTATGAAATTATTCTTGTTATTTGCTGATTTTTAGAAATTTGTTCAGGTTTAAAACCAAAATGTAGAAGTTTATTATGTAAGATTAAACTGAAGAATAATGTGAAATGTAGAGACCAAATATTTAATTTCACCAAAAATAAATTAAGGTGAACGGCATAACCATTTCCCTGCACAGCAAATATTATTTTGAATTTTCATTTCATATCCCCACAGCTTCCAACAGAAAACCAAACCAAACGCAACTAGTGCTGTCTATGAATGCAATGTGGCACAAGGAGCAAAGAATGCATTATGTACACATGTACACAAAAAGTACCAAATGAAATTTGTCTATGCTGCTTAAGGACTAATATATCTTGTAAGAAACTTAGTTAATTCTTGAAAACGCCAATTAAAAATAAAGGGAAACTCTAGAAGTAGAAAGTGAATAATGGGAAAGCGTATATGGCGTGGAGTTATCTATCTCACAAATTATCTTAACTGTTTGAATCAGCATCCCATTACTCATCATACAGCAGTAGCACTGAAAACCTACTTTCACTTAAAAAGCAGGTTAGCAGAACGTGATTTCAAGATCTTTAGTTTAAATTCAAGAACCAGACACAATGAATGAAAAGCAAAGTTTCAACTGTTGGAAAAAAACTGGTAGAATCGAGCATTATACCCTTTTAGACATTAGAGAAATGTTAAATCAAGATTTGGATTGTCTAAACTATGAGTAATCAAGATTTAGACAGAGAAAACTGAGTTAAACAGTATTAGTTCTTCAAGAAAAAGAACATTCAAATTATAAAGCAAAATTTATCCTATTGGAGAGAGAGGGAGAAAGGAACTAACCTGGTCTCTTGGGAAAGTAAGGCAACGACACCGAAGATGAAAAACATGAGAAGCATTCCTGAGTGCTCAAAGTCATTCATATGAGAAGGATTAAGGACCCCATTAACAAAAAACTTGAGGTGAGTTGAATACAAGAGCTCGATGCACATGTCAATGAAAGCACCGATTGTAATAACATACAGCTCCAGGTGCTTGAGCCTCCCGTCAAACCCTGGCACGGGATTCCAAACCCTCACTTCAAATTTCTTAGGATTACGAACATATCTCACCACAGAGCCCCATATGTGCCACAACCCAATTACAAGAAACAGTGTCCCTGGCAAAGCATGACCCTTGAAAGATCCCATGCTGCTGATCAAATTTTACCTCTCCAAAATACAATCTCCTCAGTATTTAACCAACTTGGCCTTCAATGATCCCTTAGCTGGACCAGATTAAATAGATGATCACCGAAGAATTCCCCCTTTATGAGCTAACTAACTATTCCTGTTAACAATAATGGCACCATCAGTTTTCAAACAATAAATAGCAGCCTTTTTGGACAGAATCTTCTTAAATTATATATATATATATATACACACACTTTTCAGTTTCCTTGTCTGCTATATCTGATGTGCTTCAAAATTTAAATTGTTTATTATTTTTACTGCAACTTTAACAGTTTAAAATCTTTTCTTTTACAACAGGATCCAGCAAAGCCACCTTCTACCAAGAATCAAAGATGGATCCTACCCGGCCCTTGAATTTACAAGAGAAACTAGCAAAGCCAAGAGGTGTTGACTATGCAATTCTAGTGCAGTTCTGATTCAGTGATTTTTTGTGAAATAAGATAGAAGCGACCCCGGTTCAGTGCTTCTATTGATTCACTCGAAAAGTCTGGTTTTCAGAGTCAATCTTAAGTTTCCATTTTGACAGAGATAAAGAAAAACTCTTCACACAAGTCCACATCTCAAAGGGCGAGGAATCATATTCAGTCAATCAAAATAAATCAAAGAAAAAAAATCCTCCAAACAAGTCAAAATCTAGAAACTCGGGCTCAAAACAAAAAACTCAGCCAGGACAAAGAAATTAGAGAAGGAAACGGGAAAACAAAAACAAGGGATGAATCGATAACTGAAACAATATCTCAACCTACGTAGAAAGAAAAAAAAACAACAATAAAGTATAACCCATCTTATACTCATGATTAAATCAGAAAACACAATTTCCTCTCCCCTCCTATACATATCTATCTGGGTCAGATTGTGTGTGTGGGCATGAAAGTTTAGATTTTTATAATCTACATCAGATGCATAGTTGGGCACTTTACACTGTGGATAATGGGGTTCTGAAAAAAATAAGCATAATCATGAAGTAAGAAAATAACAATGATGAAAATCGAAAAAGAAAAAGAAAGAGAGAGATAGAAAGAAGGTGTATTACTTACCGAAGGAGTGATTGGTTTAAATTCATAAACTACTGTCTCTCTCTCCGATTCAAAAAGCTACGTTCTTCTTGACCACGACAACTTCGTTGAACTCATCAAGCAGAGACAGAAAAAAAAAGAAAAAAAAACTTTGGTGGCACAAACTGCAAAGAGTGGTATGATGATGGGTTCGTGGGATCTGAGACCAATGATGTTTGGTTTTGTGGGGTTAAAAGGGTGAATCAAAGAAGCATCCTTGAGATTCACCAAAAAAGAAAACCAACGTAGTTTAATTGGAAACTGCGGTCTCTTTCCGCATCTGTTTTCTTCCATACACAAGTGGGCACGATAACATTTTACAATCTCAATCGATGTAACAATATTATTATTTTTTACTTAAATAAACTATATAACAATAAGATGAAACAAATATAATATATAGTTTACACGGGCTTCAAAAGATAACAGCTTGTCAGAACATAAATCACATCATTATTACATGGTCTGTGCTATTATTTTTTTTAGAGATAATAATGGCATTTCGCCGCCGGCCTGTTCACCTTATTCCTTTTTGAAAAAAACAAGATATATATATATATATATATATATATATATATATTGATTTATATAATATATATATATATGATTTTAATATTATATTATTTAAGAAATATTGTTCAGAAATTTAGTAAATGTGAGTAGAGGGACCATCACACATTTGATCAGGGAAAGAGGAAATGAAATAAAAAGGGTCCCTTCACATAAACAAAGGTCTGTCTCTTGAGTGAAGAATAGATTATAGGAGTTTTTTCAACTTTCAAATATTCTAGAAATGTCAACACATATATCCTAACTCCTCCAATCATATGTATCAATTCGATTCATAAAAGTTAATCGTAATTTTGATAAGAAGTAAGCCACACTTGTTGAAAATAATTAAATATATTATTTTATCCTCTCAAGATAAATATTTGACATTAGTTGAGCACAAACAACCCTACACATATTAGTAACTTAAATAAATAACAAATAGGATAAAGTATACACATATTAATAACTTAAATAAATAACAAATAGGAGTAAGTAAAATAAAATTATGTTCCTAAACCAATAGATATGTGTTAATAATAGGCATGTGTATGAACTAATTATATATCTTTTAAGAGAGGGATCCATGGATATATAATTTTAATAGCCAACTCACACTCACACATAATATAATGAATTCATGAATTTTTTTTACATGATGTTTATTTTTTTATTAAATGTGAAATTTAAAAGGACACTTTAATTTCTGACCTCTTATTAAAATTTATCTTTATATTAGAAAATGAAAAAGAAAACTTTTGGACAAAACATACAACATCTCAGCTCTCATAAGATATGCTACCATTTGGACTTAGACTTTTGCTTCCTGCACCCTTTTAATTACTAATTGGATATTCATTATAATAAGAAAATACGTATATACTTTCTATCACTCCACGGTACAGTGAAAAAAGAAGGTTAAAACAAATTATTTTCCAAACATATTTTATGTGTTCTGAAAACTGAAAATATTTTTTTTAAACACATTTCATTTAAGATTTTTTGGGAAACTTATTCTAAAAAACATTATATGCATTTCAGAAAATTTATTTTAAAAATCTTATTCTGATAAACATTTTTTAAAATGTATTCCAGTCATTCTGCAAAACTAATTCTAGATTTCTTGTTCCAAACATCTCATTCCGTTCCAAAAATTTCATTTCAAAATTATGAAAAAGTTATTCTAGAATATATATATAATATATATATATATATATATATATATATTTATTTTCATAAGTTAATTTTTCAGAAGATAAAATTATCATTTTGAAAATTTGTGGAATTCGCTAAGAAATTGTGGGCACCCAGGGATTCGCTATCAACTTGGAGAAGTTCTTATTGAAACCATTTTTTTTTTCTCTTCACCCTTTCACTTTTCTTTAATAAGGTCAATTTAACTTTAATAACAAATCTTTATAAAGCTAACACGTTTATATTTTTTCTAAAAATTTAATTTTTTACAACAAAAGAATTAATTAGTAATTATTAAACTACTATCTTTTTAATATGCAAGTTGTTATCTAAAAACTTAATTATTAATTTTAAAATTAATGACTTGTGGGATAATTTTTTTTCCAATATAATGATGTTATATAGTCAAAGATGCAATGTGAAAGTGATGAAATCTCTATCTATTATTGACCAAAAGTATAAAAGAAGAAAAACAAAGCTAAGTTCCATGTTCAAAGATCCGATGGAAAATGGGTTGGGTTTGGGACCATATTTTCATTTGTTTCTTTTTAGTTCACAACTTCTTTGGTAGGAGCCAAAATTTAATGAACCTTTTGGTCACTTTTGTCAGCTGGAAGGTTCAAATATGGTTCCTGACTTATTTTTTCAGAATGTATTATAAATCAATTTAAATAGTAATAATAAAATGTAAAGTGATATAAATTAAGTAATGTAATTTACTATCCAATGTTATAAAATTTGGTAACAAGAATTTAATGTTTTATAGATAAATTAACAAACAGTACATTTATGATAAGTTAATATTGTATTATAGGATTATATAGTTATATCTATATGATGGACTGTGTAGTTATTACTTGACTGGCCTAACAATCAAATTATCACAAGATTTGCACTAACATTAATTAGATTAAAGCAAATTAAAATTACTAGTAATTGAGTTGTGATTAGATAATTGATAAACTAAAATCTATTTCAAAAATTATCAATATATACTTAAAATAAAAAATTAATAAGTTATTTAATTGTTTAATTTTAAATTAATTAGATTAATTAAAAAAAATACTTTGACATCAAAAATCATCAAACTTAAGTGAACATTCAAAGCAAACAATGATAAAAACTGAAATTTATATATAAAAATATATAATATAATAAAGGCTTAATACCTCCTTTTGTCCCTTTTTATAAGGAAAATGTTCAATTTCGTCCTACCTTTTTTAAAAAATTCAATGTGGTCCCAAGTTGTGAAAAAAGTGTCCAATTAAATCCTTTTTTGTCACAGCGTTAAATATTTAACGATCTAGCTGACAACGTGGACTGATGTGTGCAACGTGGCTGTTTACCTTCGTAACATGACAGTGACAGTGTTTTTCATTAACTGAGAACGTGGCAGTGGGTAGTGTGTGCCACGTTTCAGTTAATGAAAAACACTGTCACTGCCACGTTACGAAGGTAAACAGCCACGTTGCACACATCAGTCAACGCTGTCAGCTGGATCGTTAAATATTTAATGCCGTGACCAAAAAGGATTAAATTGGACACTTTTTTCACAACGTGGGACTACATTAACTTTTTAAAAAAGGTAGGACGAAATTGAACATTTCCCTTATAAAGAGGGACAAAAAGAGGTATTAAGCCTATAATAAAACAGACAACTTCAACCTCAAACCTCGTAACCGAATCAAATATTAAAATACAAATAATCTTTCTCACATCCACACTTCCTATAGCTTACGAGAATATCACTAGTTCGTCAATAATAAATATATTGAAACAAACACAACGTATGTGACAACTGAAATTAAGATTTTCTAAAAATGGTGCTTATTATAAGCTTGCACATGCTATTGTCATCTTCAGAAAAATGAAAAATTGAAATAATTAAAAAAATAATGATCTTTATAATATATATTTTTGCAACATTTTAACATCATTATTGGTCTAAAATACTATCCACCAATTAATAAGTAATAATTATAAACACAACATAAATCCCTCACAGAATTACACGTGAAATAATGTTAAAATTTGTTAAAAAAATATGTGAAAATATTATTGTTGTAATTAAAAAATGGGTTTTTCGGTGTTTGAAATAAATTGATACCGGTGGTATGGTTGATGATAGAAGGATAGAAGGGAGTGGGTCATCATCACATCATCCACAACACTCCTTCATACCCCAAAACAACTTACAGAAAAAAAGCACCTACTAACAGTTGCAATTATGATTTTTGGTACTGTTGTCATTGAAATATTGCCATTGCTTTCTTCTTTAAACTCTCTCCATTTTTTTGCACATGTTCACATGTTTGTCAAATTAGTAAAAACAAAACTCTTTTTGCTGTTTCTACATCTTTAACATTTCCTTTTAGGTTAATTTTAAATTTTAAATTTCAAGAGCTTTAAAACCTACCAAGCCCAATTTAGAATCTTCATAAATGAAACATCATTAGTCACATCAATGTTGTTTTAAACTGCATCAATTTTGTGGTAGAGAAAAATATTTTCAAGGATAAGGAAAAATAGACTGTTTTGTGGAAAAAAAAACAAAAAAAAAGTTTTTTTTTATTTAATAATTTTTTTATCGTTTTTAATTATTCATTATTAAAATAAGAAATAGTTACATGATCAATTATGCAACCCCTGATAAATTATGAGAATATTTTCAGTTGTGAAAACAATAAAATTATAATTTATGAACCAAAAATTTATAAGGGACAAAATCTATTTATTCTTATCACTCGTATAGTATTATATAAGTTGATATCATTTTTAAAACACAATAAAAAAAGACATTTTTTGGCATTATTTATTTCCCAATCACAAAAATTCTTGTTAAGAATATAAAGTAAGATGATTTTTTTCATAATTACAATTCTTTTTTATAAATAACGGATATCAGTAAACCATGTTATTAGAAAAACACAGTGACTACGACTTTCAAATTTATTATACGAACTTTTAACTATTATTATAAGTTACTTTTTCTCTCTTATACTCTTTATTTAAACTTTAATACATACATTACAACATATAATAAAAATATTTCTTGAAAGTATACCAAGTTTAATGAGTTACACAACTAAAATTTAATACAAAACAGTCACCTGAGTAAAATTTTTGCTACTTACAATAAAACCAATTTTACTAAAATACTAATCCAGTAAATATACTACAATCACGTGAGTAAATACAGGATTTAAAAAAGTAATTAGATTTTACATTTTAGTTTTTCTGGACAAACCAGATCATATTATATATATATATATATATATATATATATATATATATATATATATATATTCTTGAACACTAAGAAAATAAATCATAATAAAGATATATATATTCCTGTAATGCACAATAGATAATTAATAATTAATTACAACTAATTTTCTTGGTTTTAGATTTCAATAATGTCTCGCTTAGCTGTCGACACTCACACAGTGAGACGCACAAATTAATTCCAATTCCTAATCCCACTACACTGTATCCCATCACTGTACCTGCGTAAATTAGTGTCCAACCTCACTAGCAAAATGACCATAACCCCCAATACAAACAAAATTACAACCGTATTTCATCTGGGATAAATATGTAATCTCCCTTGTGAGAAAAATCACATGGGACCCACTTCCCTTTTCATCATGTCCTCTTCAAACAGTAATACTAATTAACTCTCTAATTAACATTAAACTGGTCTGGTGGAGACTATTAGAAGGAAAGAACGAGAAGAGGACGCCACCTTCGTTCAAAAATGGAGAAAGTGTCACGGCGCCATCTCGCATTTAACCCACACGGCCCAATTCAAACACGCCACGTGGCAAGTGCTGCTCGCGGTCACAGCCTTTTCTTTTCTTACGTGGGATCTCACACTTGCGCTAATTAGAATACAACAGAATCTCTTCTTCAAATTCTCTCTCTTTCTTCTCTCTCGACACAGTTCCCCTGTACGTCGTCGTTTCACCGATCTCATCCACGCCGATCGCGGTCCAACCAAGTTCAAGAAGGAGGTGGAAGGTTCTGGCAATCGGTGGAGAGTAAACTCCACTAGTGCCAATGCGGAATTCGAGTACCAAATCATAAGTTCTTCCCTGTTCTGCGAAAGTTGAGTGAAGTAGTCGGTTCCACGATCCTCTGTCTCCGGTCGCCAGTGATGGGTCGTCGGACTGCGTAGGAGCTCGCAATTGATCTTGCCGAAGCAGAGATTCTCAGTCTCCTGCTTCCGGCTGGAACCGCGTCAGTTTTTTTGTTCTCCGAATTTGGAATTTGAAATTCTCTTTGGACGAAAGGATGTCGTCTAAGGTTGTGTACGAAGGGTGGATGGTGCGGTACGGCCGGCGGAAGATCGGGAGATCGTTCATTCACATGAGGTACTTCGTGTTGGAGTCGCGGCTTCTCGCCTATTACAAGAGGAAACCGCAGGATAATCAGGTGGTTCTATTGCTTTTCTTTTTTTGTCTGTGTGGAATTTCCCTTCTTTGGTTTCCTTTGCGTTTCGGAGAATTAAACCGATTGTTATTTTTTTTTTGCTTGAATTTGTTTTGCTTGTTGAAGTTTCCACTCTCCGAGAATTACCTTTTGGGGTATTCTATGGGAAAGGATAGGGAATTTGCGAGATTGCTTTTTTACTTTTAAAATTTTTTTATGCTTCCTAAACTTTTTTTTGTTTTTTGGTTTTGGTTCTTTATCTTTTACTTTGTGGGAGTAGGGCAGTGTGTTGGATAGTGGATGCTGCTGAAAATCTTGACGAGATGAACTTGTTTTTATGCTTTTGGTAGGTCCCAATTAAAACACTGCTAATTGACGGCAACTGCAGAGTGGAGGATAGAGGCTTGAAGACTCATCATGGACATGTGAGTTCTCCAATCAAACATGGACACTGGCACATACACAATTATTTATTTGTTGGTTCCTTTGCTTGCTGCGTGAGCCTAGTGGTCTTGAAATTATCCTTGACACGATCTATACTATGCTTGGTTTGCATGTGTCAATTTTTTAATCCGGATTATTGGAATTGAATATGGGAATGGAGGGCAACTAAACAGGTGAAACGAGGAGCTGTTCTGGAATGATTTATGGTGTGTGATGTAAGGAAGGATCTTTCAACTATACCAATGGTTTTTAATGAAACAAAGGAAAAACAAACGGGCCTCAGAGTCTTTTGACAAGTAATGCTAGTACTTCACACTTTTATGCACATAAAAATTAACACCCCTTTATGTAAAATATACTCATGGAGCCTGGGTTGGGTCCTGTATTGTCCAAGATAGATTAGTATTTTTATTTTCTTTTTAGTTTAAGGAAGAAATTTGTTACAAGAAAATAACTCTAAAGTAAGAGGATAGGGTATCATTCTTCAACGTGTTCACAAAAGAAGAAAGAATTCTAAAGTTGGGAGGAAAACATGCAAAAACTTTGCAATCTCTCTCCTTGTCTAAAAGAGAAATCCCTGATCAGATGTATATTCTGATCATCAAGTAAGAGCTGTGATATAATCCTCTCCATTGTTGTCAATCTTGTAAGTTAACTCATGGATTTGCCTGAGTTTACATTTAAACCCATTTTTTTTATTAATCCTGTCCATAAGTTAGCACAATCGTTCAGATTCAAATCAAACCTTTCAAGCGGAGTTATGCACTAGAATGAGAGGTATGTGTGTTCACCTGGTGCACGGACCAGTAACCAATAACCAGGTTATTTTTAGCCATAGTGTAAAGTAGTCAGAAATTCCTCTTTTAATGAATAATTTCTGAAGAGGTAAGGACAAGTCAAGAATTTTGATAGCATGTTTTTTCTCCTTTTTAATGAAAAGTTCAATAAAACAAATTGACCATTGATATTATTTTGAAAGTAGCATATACTGACTTTTGGTAGTTGTATTTGTAGTTAGAATATTGACAATGATTTTGTTCTCTCTATTTGTCCTCAACCATTTACTTCTTTTTGTTCAGATGGTTTATGTTTTGTCGGTTTACAACAAGAAAGAAAAGAACCATCGAATTATGGTTAGTGGATTTTCCTCATTCATAGATCCAGCATATATTTGTTCCCTTTTATCCATAATTGCCAATTTGCCTTTTCGTACTAATATTATTATTATTATTATTATTATAATTTTGCTTTTGCTAAGTCTCGTGTGTACTGCAGATGGCAGCATTTAACATCCAAGAGGCCCTAATTTGGAAGGAAAAAATAGAGTATGTTATTGATCAGGTCTGTTTCAAGAAGTTGCACAACGTTCATTAATTGTGGATTGATATCCATGTTCGTAAATTTTTTGTTAAAGTTTATCTCTCCCTGATGTACATTGACTTGAAATATGAAAAACACTTGTACAAAGATAAAATGATGCATTGCAATTTAACTTGGTGAGTCCATCCTAGAAGGACATGCTTTCTGGTTGTGTAAGTTGATGCTATTGAACTTTGGTACATGCAGCACCAGGGAGCTCAACCATCAAATGGCAACAAATATATTTCTTTTGAGTACAAATCTGGGATGGACAATGGAAAGACAGCTTCTTCCTCAGATCGTGAAAGCCAGTAAGTAGTTTTGTGCTTTGCTTTTTTTCCTCATACTGTTTCATATGTTGTTAAATTATGGCTGTCTTCCTTCAAATTGTGTCCAATGCAATTTTTCTGGATTGTCTACTGAAATAATCTATTGAAACATACTGGAATACGATTTAGTATTTTCAGCCACTTTTGTTTCACTGCTTAGCAAATAGCACCAGTGTAGATAATTGCCTGGTACCAATGTTTTTGTGCATATCTTCCTATACATTCATAACATCCAATATATTTTTTGGATCACCAGGTTCAGTGCTCAGGAGGATGAAGATGATACTCATCCTAATTTGTTAAGAAGAACAACAATTGGAAATGGTCTACTTTCTATCCTTACAGCTTTGTGGGTTTGTAATTAGTCTGCCCCAGTCTATATTTAAACTTTTCCTTTCTTGAGATGCAGGCCCTCCTGAATCAGTTTTTGACTGGACACGGGAAATAGACTCGGATTTGTCAAATCAGAATATCAACAACCAAGCATTCTCAAGAAAACATTGGCGTCTTTTACAATGTCAAGATGGTTTGCTACATATAATTACATGAGAGCAATTTTCTATCTTGTTTACATAAAAGATTAAATATTCTAGTGTTAAATTATTGGATAAGTAGTAGTTGCATGAACTGACACTATTTTCTTTCTGAAATTCGCAGGACTTCGTATTTTTGAAGAACTCGTTGAAGTTGATTACCTTGTATGTTATTTCCTGTCTTTCTTTAATTTAATGGTATACTACATTCATGGAATTGTTTGGGAAACAATTATTTTCATTTGCTTCATGTAGCCAAGGAGCTGCAGTAGAGCTATGAAGGCAGTAGGTGTTGTGGAGGCGACTTGTGAAGAAATTTTTGAACTTGTGATGAGCATGGATGGGACACGGTTTGAGTAGGTTTTCTGTAGAATTACCACCATTTTTTGTGTTTCTGTGTAATAGTTGCTGTCATGCATGATGGCAGATTGTTATTCATTGTTGTTCTGGAGAAATATTATCGTGATGTATGAGAGAGCAATTAGGTTTGACAAGAAGTTGTGATGTCATCTAATACTACTTTAGATGGATTCAGTTTGGATAAACATATCAAAACCCATATATGATATGTATATGTATATGGGAAGAAAATAAAATGAATCAAGGAGTAAATAAATCAAAATTTTCTTTAATTTTAAATTAACTTAAGCAGCTAAAATTTTCGGAGGCTTTCTCATTTAATCTGCCCCTATAAACTTAACAATGTTTGAAATTCTTGTCTTAGAAAAGTCTTTATAGTAGGTTCTGCAATGAAAAAATTCCCATAAGCTAGAAATTAATCCCAACTGGGCCTTACTGTACCATGTCCTGGACATTGTAGTTAAAAGAACCAGAACTTGTGCCCAAGGTTCTAAGGCAAGACTACAGCAGGGGTGAGCTATTCTTGGCACCTTAGGAGTGTCTTTCCTGTTAAGGATAGTTATTCCTCTAGACCTTATTTTCCTATAAAAAATAGTAAAGAAATCTGAAAGCAAAATTATCTAATTTAGTAACTTAGATGCTAAATGGGTTAAAGTTGTCAGTGTTAAGAAAAATACTAGGGTAAACTGGTCAAGGAGGTGAATGAGGCATTGCTATGTTATAATGTGGCACTATTGGAGTTGAAAACTATTTACATTTTTTTGTGCTCTTCCTATGACGTGATTTTTTTCAGTTCAATTTTTGAGTGGTGGGAATTTAGAATGTTGAACTGAATAAGTTTAATGGACTAACAAATATATTATGAGTGGAAGTTTTTGGGAATATATTGGAGTAACACCTATATAGAAGATTATAGAAAATTGCCTAAGATGGCTTTTGGTTGTGAGGGAAAGAGCTGAGGACCAACAAAGGCCATGGTGCAAAAGGTGGACCAAATGGTTGAGCATTACATTAAAATGGTAGAGGAAACCAATGAAAAGAATAGACAAAAAAATCATTGAAAATTTTAAATGAATTAATTGGGAGTTTGGTTTCCTTAGAGGTCAATATATGGCATATGATCCATATGGCTGACCCAACAAAGTGGTTTAACACTTGGTTATTAACTTGTTATTATAGATGATGAACTGATAGTTTTATTAAAAAAAAAATTATTTGATGAAAATTGTGAACTGCAGTGCAAATTTGTTTAGTTTTGGTTGCAAGGTAAGACAGGTAGTTAGTTTGGAACTTCTAATATATTTTTCGTAGTTGATAACCATTGATGCTTTAAGATGTTTGACATCTTTGAGTCTTGAGTATGATAACATAAACTGGGTTATAAAATCATTTGGAAACCTGACACGGTTCTGGACATCATCTTGTTGATTTCAGATGATGTTATAGTTATCACTTGAATGAAATTAAAATATTCACTATAAACACAATTTTTTTTAGATATTCGATATTTTCCACAATTCTGCAGATAAATTTTGTTTGCTTCTTATTATTTGCATGTCTGCAGATGGGATTGCAGTTTCCTACATGGTAGTTTAGTTGAGGAGGTGGATGGGCATACAGCAGTTCTTTATCATCGACTTCAGCTAGATTGGTTTCCAATGTATAGATAATCTATCTTTTTTGTCATTTATAATTGTTTGTGGTTTATATTTGTTAAACTTGATCAAATAATTTCACATAAATCACTGATGAATGAAAATTTCTTTTTTTGAATAACCGATTTTTCTTGTATTGTGTTGTAAGTTTTCTGAATAAATTTTTTTATTTCTTGAACATGAAAGCGAATATTTAGGGCTCTCACTGCTTAAATTTGATTTTTTTTTTTGTACATATGAAAGCATGATTTGAGACTCGATAAATAGTTAAAAAAGGGTTATTCATCTACCAAGTGAGTTGGCTAACTGTATTGACTGTCAATGCGTATTTATCATTGCAGGTTTGTGTGGCCCCGTGATCTTTGTTATGTACGATATTGGCGCCGAAATGATGATGGAAGTTATGGTAGGAATCTACTTCTTTTGTTCTAAGTTTTTGGTACTGTTTATATCTCAAAGGATTTGCTAATGATGACACTTATTAAGGAAACAAAAGAGAGTTTGAAATAAAAATAATACTTAGTTAAATTGGGAACTCAAACATGTAATACTTCTCTTTAAGTTATCAAACACATTTGACGACCACTATTGACTATTTCTCAATTAATGCTCCTAAAGAACTCTTTACAGAACTTTGTGTTTATTACTTTTGGAAGTTTGCGTTGATGTTTCTACTTCTTGCAGTTGTTTTATTTCGTTCTAGGGAGCATGAAAACTGCAGTCCACAGCCAGGGTGTGTTCGAGCACATATTGAGAGTAAGATTCAATTGCTTATAAACCTGACTCTGTCCTTCAAAGTTCAAAAGACTTGGATTCATCTATATTTCAAAGGGTCTTGATGTCCTCAATTTTTTATGGATTAGTTTATTCATATTATCTCTCTGGTGTTTTGCTAATAGTTTATTTTAAGGTCCTTGCCTCTTCTGATTTGTGAAAATCTGGATTTTTGTTAAAATCAGGAAGCTTTGATGCCTTTTTTTTTTCTTTCTTTCTATTGGACCTGTATTATTTACGATTTTCTGCTAAGGAGGATCGTTGTTTTAGCTCTTTTCCTTAGTAATAATACTTATTTTTTTTATGAAAAGAAGTAGGATCTTGCATGCATGCGAACACTCCCAATTTTAAATCCTAAAAGACAGCTGAACTGTGTTTGAAAATTTATTAATTTCAATAGAATATATTGTTCTTGTAAGCTGTTACGGTACCTTCAACAGAATGGATAGAATCATAATATTTGATAAGGTAGCATTAACAAGTTGGAGAATATCATGGAAATTCTAGAACTTTTAGCATATTGAGGTTTCCCTCTTTTAATCAGTTGAGGTTTTCTGCCAGCTTAAAGTGATGATTGATCTTTATAAAAAAATTAATTTTATGTCATTTATCTATCATTATCATTATTATTCACTAGTTATCATTAAAGAATTTTTTTTTTGTTTGTCATTGATGCGTCTCATGTAAGTTTTCTCTATATTTCTGTTATTTCCATTGGAATTTCTTAGGTCTAAAATCTGCTTTCTTCAGGTGGAGGATTTAATATTTCCCCCTTAAAACCTCGAAATGGAAGGCCAAGGACACAAGTCCAGCATCTTATGCAGATTGATCTGAAGGGATGGGGTGTGGGTTACCTGTCATCTTTTCAGCAGTATTGTGTCCGTCAAATGTTAAATAGTGTAGCTGGTGAGTCGATTTCCATTTATGCGGTTTACATATTTAGTACTGAATGATAATGCTCTCCCTTCTATCATCATGGTTTCTTTTATTTACCCTTCTCTCTATCGATTTAATAATTGAAAGTTTAGAGTGGAGATTGCCCCATTTTGAATCTCTTTTTCATGGGATAACCTGTTGTACAATTAGTGTCAACATTCTTGTATTTTTTCTCTTTCTGCAGGTTTACGTGAATGGTTTGCCCAATCAGATGAAAGAAACGCTCATCCAAGAATTCCTGTCATGGTTAACATGTCCTCAACATCTGTTTCTTCAAAGAAGAATCAGAAGCCAAATGATTTTTCTGTCAATCCTTCTTCTCTTGATCAAATGAATTCTGCAAGCAGAAACTCTGCCTTGATAGATGAATATTCTGATGATGAAGAAGATTTTCAAATAGCAGAATCTGAACAAGAGGTTGTATCTACTTTTTGCCTTATCTGTATACTTTGGAGGTTTGCTTCATAAATTTTAGCATTAATATTACTATTAAACTTTTCAGGCGTACCAAATTGGTCTTGAGAATGATGTGAAAAGAACAGGTAATTGCTTGCAATACCCTATTCAATTTAACGGTATTACAATTACAAACTTGTGCATGAAGCAATTCACCATGATGATGCATGTTTGTCAGAAGCTCAATTAAATCTTTTCATGATGTTTTCCTAAACTGAAGCTTTGGAAGAAGAACCTGCAAATGAAATCGACTTATCTTCCTTTTCGGGAAATTTGCGCCGGGATGACCGAGATAATGCTAGGGACTGCTGGAAAATTTCTGATGGAAATAACTTTAGAGTCAGAAGCAAGCATTTTTGTTATGACAAGTCGAAGGTATTCATTCTCCTTTTTCTTTTACACTTTCTGAACAAAGTTTATCATTGTCTGTGTGTTCATATTCCCTTGTGGTGAACTTTGAAGGTTCCTGCTGGCAAGCATATGCTGGATCTTGTTGCTGTAGATTGGTTTAAGGACTCAAAAAGGATGGACCATGTGGCTAGGCGTCATGGTTGTGCAGCCCAAGTGAGTAATTTAACTTTTTGTTTCTTGATGAAGATTAATGGTAGGTGGTTGAAGCTGGGAATTTTATTACAGAAAACATGGCTAAACTCTATTACACAGATGATAGGTCTATCACAATATAGACTCAACTAACGAGGAAACAAAAATAAGCCACTGTGATGGTTGTAGAACTTTTAGGATCTTCAAGCCTTCCTGTCCGAAAGGTCCAGAAGTCATTTAGTTACTGAATCCCCTATCTTATGTTTGCTTCGCATAGGATGAGAAACTAACAATACCGTCTCCCAAAAGATCCATTTTATCTTCTAGGTGGAGGTCATTATAAGTATCGTGTATCAACTGAAAGCTATACCAGGTTCCCTTTGTTTGAAGCACAATAGCCAAGTTATAATTGAAGCATAATAATTTGATTATTTTCCATCATATATGTCTCCTACCAAATCAGCTGTGAGTAGGTTTGTTAAACATGTGACATGATTTTGATTTTTCTTACTTAGATATTTGATGGAGTTTATAGTTATGGGAAAATTAAGTTACGCTTTCTCAAGGTTTGTGCTTATTATACCACATATCCATCTTATTTGGGACAAAATACCAACCCCTGTTAATTGAAACGGGTCATGATGATGTTTGAAAATAATAAAATTTCATGTAAACTTAGGTATGTAATGTTAAATGAAGACGGAGCAGGGCCCTCCCTCCCTCCCTCCCCCATCTTTTAAATTATTGAGTAAACACCTTACTGAAGAAGAAGACAGGCCCAAAACCAACCCACGCACTTGTAACTGAACCACAAACTGAGGAGGATAATATCTTTACTTAAATGGGAGTGTTATCAAGAGAATATCTTTACTGAATTTGATTTTCCTTTTTACTATTTATTTACGATGTTGGGAGGTTGTTGCATGCCTTTTTTAGGGTTTTGCTGATTATGGTCGTAATCTTTTTGTTTCTGTGTAGGTAGCTTCAGAAAAAGGATTTTTCTCCATTGTCATTAATCTTCAAGTGAGTTCTTCTGTTCATATGACTGGGTCAACTTTAAACTTCAAAAGTTTAGAGTCAGAAGAAAATGAATGCTTGCTGTTTGGTTGTAGGTGCCTGCATCAACACACTATAGTATGGTTTTTTATTTTGTGACAAAGGAGTTAGTTTCTGGATCCCTGTTGCATCGCTTTGTTGATGGTGATGATGAGTTTCGAAACAGCAGGTTTAAGCTTATACCATCAGTCCCTAAGGTATTTACTGAAAATTTTCGTCATTATAATTTAGGAAACTATCACTGCCTTTATATGATGTATAGATACTATACAAATATCGACATGTATCTTATTCATTTTATATTGAAAAATTTAGGATACGACATGTATATGATGCAACAATTCATTTTATATTGAAAAATATATAAAATGAAAAATATATGATGCTATTGTAATTTGTTTTAAATCATACCACAATTAAAAAATCATTACTGAATATTATCCAAATTAAATATGCTAAATATATTAAACTCAATTGTATATATAAACTAGAAATGACAAATTATAGTTTTAAACATGGTTAAAGGTTTACTTTTATAGTTTTTAAGTTTTTTAAACTGTTAAAGGTACTTAATTTTCTGTTATTGATATTTTAGAATTCAGTTTATACCTTATTTAAAACTATTTTTATTTACTGATATTATTATTTGAAAATTTGGTTTAGAAACCATTTACTTGTTATCGGTGCATCAGAGCTGCCTTTACTTGTTAATTTTATAATTTGTAGCTGTATCATTCTTTTGTAGTTATGTCTTAATATGGGTATGGTCATCTTTTGTTTTTTGTGAATGTGGTGGCTGCAAGAGACACCTTAAACTATGTACCATATGTAATTTGTTCTAAACAATGTATGCAATAACGAAAGCCTAATCCCACTAGGCGAGGCTGGATACATAGATTACATGATGCTATTTGGATTGGTTGTAGATTAAAGCTTTTAGAGATACCATTTACTATAAGAATCTTGTTAATGACTTAGAATGCATCTCACAACAACCAATCCTTTTTCCATCTAGATTGGGTTTAGCTACATAAATTAAGTGATTTGATACTGTTGTTTGTTACTTGTGTATAGATAAATCATCATCCAATATATCCTTTTAAATTGTTTGGCTTATAGTTTTTCATGGTCTTCCTTTGCCTATAGTATTGTGTTACCCTTCATTTCGTTAATAAAATGGAAAAATAAGAGTAACAGAACTGATGTCGTAGTGACATACTGGAACAAGATTCACGAATTTCGTGGCTGCTTATTCACAATGCGTTACATAAGTAAGCAATAGTCTATAATTTTATTTTTAAATGTTCTTTTTCCTTCATATTTTACCAACTTCTTCAATGGGGGATTCAGCCTGCACATAGCATAAATGTAAAAAAAATTGGCTCAAATAGGTAGACTGACTGAATTAATCAAATTTCGCCAACTTTTATCAGATGCGTCTTCTTGTACCTGGACATGAGTTAAACTGTGGGTTTAAAACTAAGGTTGCAAGCACTGTCGTGCAAGTAGAGTTTCCTGATTATGCTTATTAACTCTATTCCTTTTTTAGGACCGGATTGTAGAGCAATTTGGACTGGTTTATATATACATATTTTAGGATTGCATTGGATCTTATCATGAACACAATTCTCAGATATGATCGTATGACAAGATTTAAATTTTTAGTTCCCTTTGTTTTGTTGCTTCGTGCAATGGCTGATATGCTTAGCTAGTCATCACTTAATTCTAAGGTTTTGTTTGTTATATATATATATATTCCTAGGAGGCCAGGCTTGGAAATTCTGTGGTTGGGAGTGCTAATTGTGGGTAAAACAAAAAACATGTTTGCTAGCATTTAATATTTTTGTTAGGCTTTTCAAAATTCAAATGGATGGACAGCAGTGGGGTTCGAAGTAAATAGTTGGTTATAAGATAACTTCTTTTCAGATGCCACAAGAAAGAACATACTCGCCTCTCCTTGTGTGGGTCAAAGTTCAAACAGAACAAAATCAATGATAGCCAAAAATAATTGTTTAAACTTGTACCAATATGGGAATATCATATTGCCAAGTTCACTTTTCCCAAGAATAATTGTACAGTCCTTAAAAAAATGTGCGTTAGGTGGATGTATGCAGCTTTGTTGCTGACTGTTACCAAGTTGATGTATATACATTTTTGGCCTAGCTTAATCCACAGGATCAAATCTCTTATTGTTGGCTTTATGGCTTTCTTTGATTTTTTCTATTTACATTTTTACATTTCTTTTTATTTCTTTGCCACTTTTGTTTGTAATTTATAACTACCATATTTCCATAAAGGCTGCAGAGGAGAAACAGGCATACTTTCTTCTTATTGATATTCTATCTTAAAAATGCAGGGTTCATGGATTGTACGCCAGAGTGTTGGGAGTACTCCTTGTTTGCTGGGAAAGGCAGTTGATTGCAACTACATTCGTGGTGCCAAGTATTTAGAAGTAAAATTTGATTCAAGCTCTATAAATTTTTTGTTTGTCTTGTGTTAAAATTTCCCACTGATGAATGATGTTTGAATCTTAATTGTCTGCTATGATTTTTTAACCAATCACTCTTTAATTGTAGATTGATGTTGATATTGGTTCCTCTACTGTTGCCAATGGAGTTTTGGGGCTGGTTATTGGTGTGATTACAACATTGGTTGTAGATATGGCTTTTCTTGTACAGGTGCGTTAGATATTACTAGAAATTAACATCTAAACAAGTCATGAGATTTAAGTTGCAGCAATTGGGCTAGACTAATTTTCTTGTTGCATCTAGTATGGAACATTTAACATTTATTAATAATACTTGATTTTAGTTGATTTCACCTAGGTAGGTTTTGGGTATTTAATTTTCAGATTGGAGCTTGATAGGTTTCTGATAAAGAAACCTTATCTCTCACCCAACTACACACGCAACAGATCACAAGTTCTGTATAACCTCTGACTTTATTGATCTCCAAGAAAGAATACAAGAATCAAGTAATCTGAGAGCCTAATCTCCCCCAACAAGACTAACAGTCTGTTTATACACTTCAATTGCCCAAAAGTCCCTCTCCTCTCCCCATCTCAACAATTTATACAAAAGTATATTCCCGCTCTTCCTAACTGTTAACACAGTTAGGCAACTAACTCCCTCTAACTGTTAACTAACAGTTAACTAACCTCTCCTCCTCCTTTCATACACTCTCAACTTCCTATCAAGCTTGCTATCACAAAAAATGTGTTACTGATTTAACGAGTTGTTTTAAATTCCATTCCATGTCCCTATAACCCTCAACTGCAAGGAATTATAAATAATCTATTAAGCTGAGCTAGTTCTGAACCAAACCTTTTGTTTGGGTTAAGTTATATCTGTATTTTCCTTCAAGTTTACATTATCGTTAGATATTTATATATAATGGGAAAAGAATGTCTGCACCTTGTAACAGTATGTTATCACCAAACCTCCTGTGGAGGCAGAGCTATGCAGCAAAATATTTTCTCTTGTGGGGGGCCAAAATATTTTTTTTATGACTTGAATTTAGGGATGGAGCAAAACCAGGGTATCATCTCAGTTTATTTATATGTATATATAAAGATGAATACAAGTATATCTCAAAGAGGAAGGCTACAACCTATGTTATTTATCTTAAAATTATGTACACAAAAAAAAAAAAGAAAAAAATTTCTGTGTGAGAGCATATCTTGGTTGGTCTATTTGAGGGAGGCTACTTTTTGGGTTGCGTCAAAGATATCTTGGCCTTCTTCCAAAAATAAGAGTGCATGTCTTGAAGGATTTGAGTATCTCTTAGACATTGGGTTCAGCTAATTTGCCATAAAACAACAGTTGGTAGTCGAGAGTTATTTTTCCAGTTGAGTTTTGTAGTTGCAATAATAGGAGTACCAGAAAATGATAACAAAATCAACAGAGACCATCTCAAAGATATGTACACTGTAATGGCGTCAAAACGAACATCCATATTAAAAAAACGTGTGATCAAACGTATTTAATTCCAAGTAAGTTGGAACAGAGAACCAAGGTTGGGGGAACGGGTTCAAAGAACGTCGGTGATTTGGCCCCTCACACACTAGGTTGGAGCACCCAAAGATTCTTTGTCAAGACCAAATCTAGTGCTTGTTTGGGAGGGTTTGCAGTCGCTTGTCAAGACCGAATCTTGTGTTGTATGTTGCTTGGTAGACAGCTGCCAGACGGTTGAGTGACTGTATTTCACTAGAAAATTATCAAAAGAGTAGGATAGACCTATCACCTTGAATTTAGAGATGGCCAAAAGTACCGCCTCAGCTGATGTATATGTGTATATAAAGATGAGTACAAGTATATCTCGGAGAAAGGCTACAACCTATGTTCCTTAACTTAAAGCTAGGTACATCCAAAATCAGCTTTTATAAAATCTGTACAACAAAATAATATCACCTATTTCAACATTTAAGTATAAAATTAAAACAAGTTAAAAAAAAATTGAGGGTGACCATGATAACTCATGGTCAACCCCGGATCTGCCCCTAACCAACCAGGTGCTGGTTTTATGCTTCCACTATTGTGTTTAATATGGTATGTATATTCTGAAATTGAGTGCATTTGATTTTCGGTTAAAAGAAAGTTTCACACAAGTAATAATGTTATGCAGACCAAGTAATTTAGGTCTAAATTTGTAAATCTTTAACCACAGATGGCAAGATGGATAGCAAACATAGTAGTAAAAGTGTGAATGTGGGAGAGGCCGGTGTTGTATTGTGCCAATTGTCCATCACTCCACCAATTTACATATATTGATGCTACGGAGCAGAGTTATGATAAAGATATAATAGTTTTGTTTGTTCATTATTATTAATTTTAACTGCTTAAGTTTAGGTTTGAATTTGCTACTCTAAGTATCTGTACCGAAACAAGCAATGTTTTTATATTTTACTTGAATTCCAGCTTGGTATGATAATGTTAGGATCTAGGATGTTAGGATAGATTGGGTTGAGGACTGAGCGGTTAAGGGTGTGAGGGTGTCGGTTGTAAAGGGGGAGCGGGTCAGAGTTGCTATAAATAGAGCTCTTGTAACTCTGTAGAGGGCATTGAGTATTCTTTTGTAAAGTCTAGACTTTTACCAGAAGAGGGAGGTTATGCTCCCAATCAGGGAGGTTATGCTCCCAACCATTCTTTGTAAAGAGATTTCTATCGTTGTCAATAATAGAACCCATTCTTTCTTTACTGTTTCTACCTACTGTTAGTGTTCATAGTTAGGTTTCCAATCCAGGTACCTA